ACCTATGTCAGAAATTGCGAAAAGTGTCAGAGGTTTGCACCTTTAATACATCAACCACCAGCAGACTTGAACCCTGTGTCCAACCCTTGGTCATTTGCCTAGTGGGGTATGGATCTTGTTGGACAACTGCCCCAAGCAACTGGGCAAAGGTAGTTTATGCTAGTAGCAACTGATTACTTCACAAAGTGGATAGAAGTTGAACCCCTTGCGAAGATTTGAGATATTGATATGAAGAACTTCATATGGAAGAATATCATCACCAGGTTTGGGATTCCAAGGGCAATAATAGTAGACAATGGCACATAGTTTGACAGTAAGTTAATAAAAAGCTTTTGTACAAAGTACAAAATCAAGAGCTACTACTCTACTCCAAGTTTCCCTCAGAGTAATGGTCAGGCAGAAGCATCCAATAAGGCTATCTTGGATGTGATAAAAAAGAGGCTAGAAGCATCAAAGGGAAAATGGATGGAAAAGTTGCCCAATGTACTCTGGGCATATCGGACTATGCCGAGAAGATCAATTGGGGAGTCTCTATTTGCCATGGCTTATGGCACTGAAGCAGTTATCCCACTAGAAGTCGGCATTCTATGGATCAGAACGCAGGGAGTGGAAAATGGTACTAATGAGGCATTTTTAACCCGAGATCTAGACCTACTGGAGGAGAAAAGAGAGAGAGAGAAACAATTCAGCTGGGGGCATACCAGCAACAACTTGTTAGGGTTTACAACAAGAAGGTCAACCCAAGAGAGTTCAAAGTTGGGGAACTTGTGCTGAGAAAAGTAGTTGACAACAAGAAGGATCTTAGGGAGGGCAAGCTAGGCCTAAATTGGGAGGGGCCTTATAGAATCATCTCGGTCACCAGCAATGGAGCATATCGGTTTGAGAACAGTGATGGGAAAGAGTTGCCAAGACCCTAGAACACTTGCAACTTGAAGTTTTTCTATCATTAAATTTTTTGTTTTTCGAAGTTTATGTCATTAGCCGAAGTAGTAATAAAATTTTAGTTTGATTTTTATGAATTTGAAATTTATGTGATAGGACTAACCAGTCCTACGGCGATGTTTTTGAATGAAACATGACAAATAACTTGGACTTATTATATGGAAGAGTTGAATTATACTTGCATATAATAGAGTTGAACTAAGTTGGCAATGCTTTTGAATGAAACATGATGAATAACTTAGACTTATCATATGGCAGAGTTGAATTATACTTGCATATAATAGAGTTGAACTAACTTGGCGATGCTTCCGAATGAAACATGACGAATAACTTAGACTCATTATATGGTTGATTTGAATTATACTTGCATATAATGGAGTTGAAGTAATTGAACTAAGTTGATTAACGGAGAAACTAAGGTTGAAACACCTCGGGGAGCCTTTGTTTGAATCTAACTTCGGCGAAAGACCATAGTCACATGCTTAATGTGAACTTAAGTGGAACTTAGGCTCACATTAGAGGGCAGGGAGCTGGAGTGATGAACAAACTTAAGAGTCTGACACTTGTTGAAATTTTGGAGAAATTTACAAGTTGGAGTTAGTCGAGGTAATTATGAATAAAGTATCCGAGATATATGTTACTCGAGGTGACCAATCAGGTTGTCAAAACTTGAAAAGGGCGAAGTCTTAATAAAAGATAACATATGAAGGTAAAAAAGCAATACTGAATAACACTTGTAAAAATATTTTGATATTTTTTAAAGTGTTAGCCGAGGTAAACATTTCACGTTTATATCTGAGGTATTATAACCCGAAGTGATTATATAGTTAAGGAATACTTCGGAGAAATGCAAAAATATTCTAAGTATGAAGGCGTACTAGGCATGGAAGGAAAGCAGTAAGCATACAAGAAAAGCATCCAAACACTTAAAGAGAAAAGCATGCATTTAAGGGAGAAACTTGTTCGGATACAAAAACAAGGCACATCAACCAGATTGAAACTTAACATTTTCAAAATAGAAAGGTTGCAACAACTACAAAGGAAAAAAGACAAGGTACAGAAAGAGAAAAGATTCTACATGGACCGATTTGCCTCGGCGATTGGCTGTGTATCAACCTCGGCAGACAGTTGGGAAATATTCTTGGTAGTCCTCTCCACCTCGATCTCGGCATCAAACTCGAGCAGAGTTTGGTCGAGGCTCTTTTCGGCTGTATTGACCTCGACATCTGACATAGCCTTCTTGGGAGAGGCACTCTTGAAGACCTTGTTCTCCTCATCCTGAGTCAAGTCAAGGACTTGCTCATTCAGAGTGGGGCACTTGTGTAATAACCCGACCCTCTTATATGTTTTCTGGTATGCTTTCAGTCTCTTATTATGTGCACTTATATGTTTAAAGTGAAATTCCACGTGAAATTAAGTTTAATTGTGTAAATTATAACATTATGGATTTATATCTATCAATTATAAGAAAAATCTATTACCATTGTGACGTTTGGATTAGTAATTGGAGGTCGTAAAGGCGCGATAAATCGAAATTGACCTTGAATTTGTGATGAGCATGATTTTTAGATCATAATATGAATTTTTGTAAAAAATTAAATTGGCAATGATTAAATTTTAGTAAACTCTTAAATAACCATCTTAAGCTCTTAACTTAGTCACTTTTATATCATAAGAGAAACATCTCCTGAGAGAAGGAGAGAGTTAGACAGGGAGAGAAAGGAGAGAAAGCTTCAACAAGGAGGAAGATTGAGAAATTGAGAGGGATTGTAGAGATTTTAGCTCAAGGTATGTGTAACCCACTTTGAATAACCACTCTCTCGGACTTGAGTAAGAATTTCTTGTCATTTATGCAAGCTAGGGTTTGTAATTGAGGCCAAGAATGTGATAATTGATTAATTGGAAAGATGTTCTTATCATTTGGTTGTTTTGAAATAAATTGAGCTATATGGAGTGGAATTACGTATTATTCTTTCATTTTCCATGTTTGAACTCATCTACATATTTAGAGGGTTATATATATATATATATATAATTGAATTCCAAATATGGCTAGAGCTTTGAAGGAATTGGGTTGTGTATATAGAATTAAAGGTAATAAAGACTTAATTAAGCTTGTGGTTCATGTTTATTGTGATGTTATATCCTAATATTGTGTTGATTTCCCTATGTTTCTACTCTCTAATGTGGTTGCTTTGTTGAATTTGTGCCTTGATTCGGACTGCCCAAAACAGGGGCTGCGACTGCACGTGCGGGGCTCATGGCCGCACGTGCGGGAAGCACCATCGCACGTGCGAGGCTCACAGCTGCACGTGCGGAAAATAGAGGAATTCGAGGTTCAGGTATTGAAATAAATGCATGTGCGGGGCGCACGTGCGGCCCACCTTTCCGTACGTGCGGCGATGGGCTTCTGCACGTGTGGCCTAAGGGGAAAAATCCTGCGTGTTTCTTTTCTTTTGTTTAACCCTCTAGGATTGTTAAAATATGTATTTGAAGCTTTTAAAAATGCTTGTAAATAAATGAAAGCTGAACGAATCGAATATTCATTAATAGGGAAAAAGGGACTAATTTATGAGTTGCATGTGTGTGTAGGTCACATACCAGAAGAGACTATCGCTCCGCCACAGCACTGTGAGTAATAGTAGTGTAGTGATATGTTTTATTTACTGTTAATTGTTATCATTAGCACATTGTTATTCGTGAATGAGCTATGTCCCCATATGATGAATAATTGGAAAGCTTATGTGAGATAATGAACAATGAAATCCTTATGGACCAGAGGTCGTTCCGTTTTGTTATTGTTGGGCCCAAGGCGATTCAGATATAAGTTACATCTTGTTGGCAGCCCTAGGGCTGAGAGAGGTGATGACATGCCGATGTCTCACCGATCCTAATATGATTTGAATTGATCATGACTCCTGGCCTAAGGCCGAGGGAGATGGCGTACATGTCGATGTTCTACCTACCCTCCAATGTTCAAACGACAGTTGATATGTGGACCTGAGGGCGTTCTGTATGTTATTGGGCCTAAGGCCGTTCTGTATGATATTGGGCCTGAGGCCGTTTTGTATCAATATTAGGCTGAAGGCCGTTTTGGAAATGATTATAGAACAAGATCAAATATGTGAACTATGTACTTACATATGGTGTGATTTGTGTTTATTCACTTGAATTACCTGCATACTATTATTCACTGAGCCCTGCTCATTCTGTGTTATGTGTGCCTATGTAGGTAATTCGCTCGGAGGTTTGTCCTAGTCCAGCCCTAGCCACTCCTTTGTCGACCCCACGGTGACCAATCAATTAAGTGAAGTTTATTTATTTTTGTAGAGTTCCTTTCATAGCTCGTGGTGTTGGTCACTAGTGCTTTTGTCAAGTGTTGTTAATCATGTACAGTTTTTACCCCTAAATGTTTTAGTTATACCCTTATTTAAGGGGTTGGGTTTGTATTGTATATACGTGTTTGTGTATAGTTGGTATTACGGATATGCTTCTGTATGCGATGAAATGTTTTGTGATCCTGGCATTTAGACACTGGCTCAATGGATATCATTTTAAACTAATAATTGCTCCTGTTCAGGCCCCGTATTATATAAGGTAATCATGCTACTGATTATTGAGTTCTGAGACCGTTATGAAGTTGGTCATGCCCAAACTTTTAGGGGCGAGTTTGGGGCGTAACAAATGGTATCAAAGCACGAGTTGCTATCTCACACACAAATCCATTGAGCTTTAAGATGTCTAGAAAAGACTTAGGTTTCATGCATGATGTTTTTGATGCCTATGAAGTAATCGATAGCAACGTGATTTGTATATGTAACATCTACTAACAAGTATTACGAAATGGTTACTATTTATGTCAACTTGTATATCTTTTGTGTGTGTTGTAATTGATTGTTACGTAGATTATGATGAGAACAAGGATGGATGATCCGGAGGATTCTACCTCTACACGGTTAGACGGAATGGAAAGAATGATTATGGAAATGGTGGAAACTCTACGGCAGCAACAACAACAATAGCAGCAACAATCGCCATCACCACCGGTACCTCCACCTATGGTGGAAGATTATCATGCGGAAGACCAAACCATCACTCTTACAAAAGAATTCAAGAAGATGAAGCCACCAATATTTAAAGGGGGAATTGATCCAATGAAAGCAGAAGCATGGGTACTGTATGTAGAAAAGTTATTTGAGGTGTTTCCATGCACCGAAGCTCAAAAGGTACAACTGGCTGCTTTCACTCTCGAAGACGAAGCCTGTACGTGGTGGATGCTTACAATAGTTGAACATCAAGGGTTGACTTGGACCCGATTTCTGGAACTCTTTTATGATAAGTATTTTCCGCAGTGTATGCGGGATAAAAAGGTGACTGAGTTTGAAACTTTGAGACAAGGGAATAAGACTATTGCGGAGTATGAAGCTCAATTCGTGGAACTAGCTTGGTTTGCACCTCATATGATGGATACGGATCATAAGAAGGCGAGGAAATTTGAAGGGGGTTTATGAAATGCTATTCTTGATCAAATCAATGTGTTAAAGTTACCTACATATGTTGATGTATTAGAGAGGGCCATCATGGCAGAGGGAAATATTGCTGCTCAGAATCAGATTTTCGAGTGGAAGGGGAAGAGACAGAATACTCGAGCATCAAAGGGGCCAACGACTCCACCAAGCAAGAAACTGAATTCAGGAACCTCTAGTGCTTCCACTCCTACTTGAGACTCGGCACCTATTTGTCCAGATTGTGGAAAGAGACATCGAGAGACTTGTTATTGGGTGACCGGGGCATGTTTTAAGGGTGGCAAGATAGGTCATATGGTAAAAGATTGTCCTCAAAGAGATCGGCAAAATGGGAATAGAACTACTACAAGTTTGGCAGGGTCAACACCAACTCCAAGTACAAAGTCAGTTGCAAAGTCTACCAATAGTAAAGACACCGCCAAGCAAGGAAGAGTGTTTGCGTTGGTTTCAGGTGATGTGCAAAATGCTGCAGTAGTGGAGTCAGGTATATTTACTATTCACGGTCATTCTGCTCATGTGTTGTTCGATTCAAGCTCTACCCACTCCTTTGTGTCAAAAATATTTGTCCAAAATTTAAATAGACCTATGGAATTACTACCTTATGTGTTGTGTGTGTCTTTACCGTTGGGGGATTCTATAGCCTGTACATATATTTTGCTTGTGAACTCGTAATTGGGGATGTCCTGGTATATGCCAACTTGCTACCTCTTGACATGACCCACTTCAATATCATTTTGGGAATGGATTGGTTAAGTGAGTATCAAACGACTATTGATTGTATGACCAAGCAAATCATTTTCACCCTCTGGGCAGTCAAAGTTTATTTACAAGGGGCATGGAGTGATTTTTCCACTTTACTTAATTTCTGCAATGAAAGCATGCAAATTATTACAGAAAGGGTGTCAGGGGTATTTATGTAGCGTTTTGAATGGGCAATCAGTGAATGGGTGTATTGATATGATCCCGATTGTTCGTGAATTCCCGGATGTTTTCCCGGAAGAGTTACCAGGAGAGTTAGTGGATCATGAAATTGAGTTTACAATTGAAGTGGTGCCAGGAACTCAACCTATTTCTAAAACTCCTTATAGGATGTCACCGGTTGAGATGAAAGAGTTGAAGGTTCAGTTGCAGGATTTACTTGATAAAGGGTTCATTCGCCCGAGCGTTTCTCCTTGGGGTGCACCAGTCATTTTTGTGAAGAAGAAAGATGGGACCTTTCGGTTGTGTGTGGACTACAGGGAGCTTAATAAAGTGACAATTAAAAATAAGTACCCACTGCCTAGAATCGATGATTTATTTGATCAGTTACAAGGGGCACAAGTCTTTTCAAAAATTGATTTACGGTCTAGATACCACCAACTGAAGGTCAAAGCTGAGGATGTTGAGAAAACTGCCATCCGAACCCGCTACGGTCATTATGAGTTCTTGGTTATTCCATTTGGAGTTACCAATGCACCAGCAACATTTATGAATTTAATGAATCGTGTCTTTAAGCCTTATTTGGATGAATTTGTGGTAGTATTTATTGATGATATCCTCATTTATTCCAAGAATGCAGAAACTCATGATAACCATCTTCGTTTAATTCTTTAGACGCTTCGAGATAAGAAATTTTATGCAAAGCTGAAGAAATGTGAATTTTGGCTACACGAAGTGGGGTTTTTGGGACATGTGATAACGAAGGAAGGTGTTTCGGTTGACCCACACAAAATTGAAGCAATTGTGAATTGGCCAGCCCTTACTAATGTGACCGAGGTGCGTAGTTTCTTGGGATTAGCTGGGTATTACCGGAGGTTTGTTAAAGATTTCTCCAAAATTGCCGTGCCACTTATCCAATTGACTTAGAAGGGTGTTTTGTTTGAATGGTCAAAACAACGGGAATCTGCCTTTCAAGAATTGAAAACAAAGTTAACTACAGCACCGGTTCTTGCTTTACCATCTGGCACCGAAGGATTTGTGATCTACAGTGATGCATCTCATAAAGGACTAGGTTGTGTTCTTAGGCAAAATGGGAGAGTCATTTCCTATGCCTCTCGTCAGCTTAAACCCCATGAAAAGAACTACCCCACACATGATCTAGAGCTGGCAGCGATGGTCTTTGTTTTAAAAATATGGCAACATTATTTGTATGGTGCTACATGCGACATCTTTACCGATCATAAGAGCCTCAAGTATCTCTTCACCCAAAAGGAGTTGAATATGCGCTAGCGACGGTGGTTAGAGCTTATTAAGGATTATGATTTACAAATTCATTATCATCCCGGTAAAGCCAATATAGTTGCAGATGCTCTTAGTTAGAAAAGTATGGGAAATTTGGCGAATCTGCTCATGAGACAGAAGGAATTAACACTTGAATTGGAAATGATGAATGTAGATATTGTGATGCATGAATGGGATGCTATGGTAGCATCAATATTAGCTCAACCAACATTAATTGAAGAAATTAAGCAACGGTAAATGGAAGATGAACTTTTAAAAAAAGTCTGTGATGAGATAGAAACAAAACCAAGACTCGGATTCGATCTTGTAAATCCAGTGCTCAAATTTCAAGGTAGATTATGTGTCCCCAATGTATCCAAAATTAAAAAGAACTTGATGGAAGAAGCACATGCCTCGAGATTCTCAATACATCCCGAGAGTACCAAGATGTATCGAGATGTAAAGAAAAAATTTTGGTGGCCAAAAATGAAGAAAGAGATTGCGGAATTCATCTTGAAATGTTTGCATTGTCAGCAGGTAAAGGCAAAGCATCAGAGACCAGCAGGTTTGCTTCAACCCCTTCCAATCCCAGAGTGGAAGTGGGAACATTTGACCATGGATTTCATTGTAGGTTTACCACGAACTCCTCGGGGCATGAATTCTATATGGGTCATTGTAGATCGGTTAACTAAATCCACTCATTTCCTACCTATGAAGACTCAATACAATGCAGACAAACTTGCTGTGATTTACGTGAATGAAATTGTAAGGCTCCATGGTGTTCCAGTCTCAATTGTGTCAGATAGGGATCCGAAATTCGTGTCGAGATTTTGGCAAAGTTTGCAAAATGCTATGGGGACAGAGTTAAAGTTCAGCACATCTTTTCACTCTCAAACAGATAGGCAATTTGAGAGAACAATACAAACCTCAGAAGATATGTTACGAATGTATGTTTTAGACTTTTAGGGAAGTTGGGAAACTCATCTACCATTGGCAGAATTCACGTACAATAATAGTTACCATTCAAGCATTGGAATGGCACCTTATGAAGCCTTATATGGGAGACCATGTCGTTCTCCCGTGTGTTGGGCCAAAGTTGGAGATAGATCATTTGTTAGGGCCTGAAATTATACAGCTGACGACCGAAAAGATTAAAGTTATCCGAGAAAGATTGAGAACCGCTCAAAGTAGGCAAAAGAGTTCTGCGGATCACCGACAAAGAGATTTGGAATTTGATGTAGGTAACCATGTTTTTGTGAAAGTTACTCCAATGAAGGGACACCCAAGATTCGGTAAAAATGGTAAGTTGACACCTCGATATGTTGGTCAGTTCCAAGTTCTGGAGAAAAGTGGGTTCGGTGGCTTATCGAGTTGCTCTTCCACCGAGTATGAGCCAAGTGCATAATGTATTTCATGTATCTATGTTGCGAGGTTACCTCCCAAATCCGTCTCATGTCATTGATTACCACCACATCACTATAGATGATAAATTAACCTATGAAGAAAAGCCAATCCGAATTTTGGATCGGCAAGTGAAACAATTACAGAATTGAGAAATCCCAATGGTAAAAGTTGAATGGCAAGAACATTACGGGACAGAAGCTACTTGGGAAAAAGAAGAGGAAATGCAACACCAGTATCCAGAATTATTCCTATCATAAGGTAAAACAAGTTTGAGGGACCAAACTTATTTAAGGGGGGGAGAGTGTAATAACCCGTCCCACTTATATGTTTTCTGGTATGCTTTTAGTCTCTTATTATGTGCACTTATATGTTTAAAGTGTAATTCCATGTGAAATTAAGTTTAATTGTGTAAATTATAAGCTTATGGATTTATATCTGTCAATTATAAGAAAAATCTATTACAATTGTGACGTTTGAATTAGTAATTGGAGGGTGTAAAGGCGTGATAAATTGAAATTGACCTTGAATTTGTGATAAGCATGATTTTTAGATCATAATATGAATTTTTGTAAAAAAATTGATTCGCAATGATTAAATTGATTAAATTGTAGTCAACTCTTAAATAACCTTCTTAAGCTCTTAACTTAGTCACTTTTATATCATAAGAGAAATATCTCCTGAGAGAATGAGAGAGTTAGACAGGGAGAGAAAGGAGAGAAAGCTTCAACAAGGAGGAAGATTGAGAAATTGAGAGGGATTGTACAGATTTGAGCTCAAGGTATGTGTAACCCACTTTGAATAACCTCTGTCTTGGACTTGAGTAAGAATTTCTTGTCATTTATGCAAGCTAGGGTTTGTAATTGAGGCCAAGAGTGTGATAATTGATTAATTGGAAAGATGTTCTTATCATTTGGTTATTTTGAAATAAATTGAGCTATATGGAGTGGAATTACGTATTATTCTTTCATTTTCCATGTTTGAACTCATCTATATATTTAGAGGGTTATATATATATATATATATAATTGAATACCAAATATGGCTAGAGCTTTGAAGGAATTGGGCTGTGTATATGGAATTGAAGGTAATGAAGACTTAATTAAGCTTGTGGTTCATGTTTATTGTGATGTTATATCCTAATATTGTGTTGATTTCCCTATGTTTCTACTCTCTAATGTGGTTGCTTTGCTGAATTTGTGCATTGATTCGAATTGCCCAAAATAGGTGCTGTGACTGCACGTGCGGGGCTCATGGCCGCACGTGCGGGAAGCACAACCGCACGTGCAGGGCTCACAGCCGCACGTGCGGAAAACAGAGGAATTCGAGGTTCAGGTATTGAAATAAATGCACGTACGGGGTGCACATGCGGCCCACCTTCCTGTACGTGCGATGAGGGCTTCCGCACGTGCAGCCCAAGGGAAAAAATCCTGTGTGTTTCTTTTCTTCTGTTTAGCCCTCTGGGATTGTTAAAATATGTATTTGAAGCTTTTAAAAATTCTTTGTAAATAAATGAAGGTTGAACGAATCAGGTATTGATTAATAAGGATAAATAGACTAATTTATGAGTTGCATGTGTGTTTAGGTCACATACTAGA